GCCCTAAAAGGGACATTTTGTCTCATCAATGGTGTCAATCGACAGAAACTCACCGACATGACTTCACACAAGTATTGCTTTGTATTTCAAAATAATAACAAAATGCTACAATAATAGGTCATCTATACTAGCTGCCTTGACTTCCTTCACGCCAATTCATTTATAAAATCCCATGCATCTGGCTTTATTACTAAAGTACAACTGTATTCAAAGTTGGCAATGACTTTATAATTGCAAATACAGAAGGTTTTTCTCAGTTCGTGCTTTCGTTGAGCTCTGTGTTACGAATAATATTTTTGAAGACCTCTTTCTCAAATTTGCCTGTTTAAAAATATCCTATCCCTCTACATAGAGATGTCTATTCCTTTTCTCAAAAACTTCCATACCTCCTGAGCTATGTGCACACTGCTTCTTTGTCAGGAATATTAACTCATTCAGACAAATGCTGAAAGCATATTGAGTCTCTACCACATACCACACACATTAATATTGTATTCTTTTATTTTTCGAGACACAGTATCGCTCTGTTGCCCAGGCTGGATTGCAATGGCGAGATCTTGGCTCACGGCAACCTCTAACTCCCGAGTTCAAGTGATTCTCCGGCCTCAGCCTCTAGAGTAGCTGGGACTATAGGCACACACCACCACATCTGGCTAATTTTTATATTCTTAGTAGAGATGGGGTTTCATCATGTTGGCCAGGCTGGTCTCGAACTCTTGACCTCATGATCCACCTGCCTCGGCCTCCTAAAGTTCTGGGATTACAGGCGAGAGCCAATACGCCCGGTGAATATTGTATTCTTATATTCAGTTTTCCCTCATCCACCTTTCTCTCTATCTAAATCTCACCCAATCCTCATGTCCTCCCTGCCTCTTCAATGAAATTTTCCCTAATCACCCTAGTTCACAGTATATTCTTCCTCTTCCAACTCTTTATTGTGTTGCTGAATATTTGCAAACATCCATTTAATACTGATTAGAATATACTTTAATTATTTTCTTTTTCATTCATGTATATCATACATGCCAATTAAATCTTCTGTGGCCTAAGATATTAATGTTTAATATCACAGTAAAAGATAACTGGATATAAGTACAGTAATGTTCATATGTTATTATTTGCTTTACAGATTTATCTATAGCCTCATGTTTAAGAAGATAGCCTTAACCAATTAACAAATGGTGAGTTTTCAGCACCGTGTCTGGCATAGAGAACATAATACACCGCTGCTACTGCATATCAAGATGTCGCTATCAATAAATAGGCTTCAAGGTCTATTATAAGAGCACTATAACAGGCATTTGTCCTTAAAAATATAAAGAAAGAGAAGCCATATGTATTTGTGAACATGTTACAAAAATAGGCACTACAAAATAATGATAGGCAACATTAATTGAGTATCTACTAAGTGCAAGATATGTGACCCTATAATATGTACCTTCTGGCCAGGTGCAGTGGCTCACGCCTGTAATCCCAGCACTTTGGGAAGTCAAGGGGGGTGGATCACAAGGTCAGGAGATCGAGACCATCCTGGCCAACATGGTGAAATTCCAACTCTACTAAAAATACAAAAATTAGCCAGGTATGGTGGTGGGTGCCTGTAAAAATCCCAGCTACTCGGGAGGCTGAGGCAGGAGAATCGCTTGAGCCTGGAAGGCAAAGTGCAGTGAACCAAGATCACACCATTGAATGTTAGCCTGGCGACAGAGTGGGACTTCATCTCAAAAAAATATACATATATATATATATGCACCCTCTATATTTTATCTTACTTTATCTTCTCAATGAGTGAACTTATAATTGAGGACATGGGCCTAGAGCGGTGGCTCACACCTGTAATCCCAGCACTCTGGGAGGCTGAGGCAAGCGGATTGCCTGGGATCGGGAGTTCGAGACCAGCCTGACCAACATGGAGAAACCCCGTCTCTACTAAAAATACAAAAATAGCTGGGCATGGTGGTGCATGTCTGTAATCCCAGCTACTCAGGAGGCTGAGGCAGGAGATTTCCTTGAGCCTGGGAGGCAGAGGTTGAGGTGAGCCGAGATCTTGCCATTCCACTCCAGCCTGGGCAATAAGAGCAAAACTCTGTCTCAAATAATAATAATAATAAATAATTGGGGACATGAATTCTTAGAGACAAAAGAGTCTACATAACTTATCCAAGGTCATATATTAGAAATTCGCAATGACTTCCAATGTGAACCTATACCTGTCTTGATCCAAAGCCCATCCTCTTCACACTCTAAAACTGAATGAATACTCAGACCAAGTGTTATGGAAAGAGAGGAACTAAAATAAGTGCAGTGCAGAGCTAATCTATTTACTTGAACTCTTGAATTATCAAAATACTGGCCTATGAGAATGATACATCTTTAATTCAGACACTTTTCTAATTGTTTCATAATTGTAGTGATGTATTGTATGTCTATATTTCATTGTCAAACACATGCATTAACTAAAGTGGAATAAGTAACAAATACAGTGACTTGAAAAAGAAAAATGTAATTAAAAATAACATCAACATTGTCCAGGACTTTTCTCAAACTCATTTATTACATATTGATTTTCCAATCTATTCCATAGCACTGTTACTCTCTCTACATACAATGGCTGAAAATCTCATCAGCAATATTTCAGGAATCAAGAAATGACTAAATGGAATTATTCCTTTTTTGAAAACACTTTAGATTCTTCCACAGTCTCTCAGAACTATAAAGCAAATAATAAATTTTATCTTTACCACACCCCTGGGTGGTTTCTTATGTTTCTTGAATGTTATATTCTTAAGCATTTCATTTTTTTCCCCAGGTTTATAGCAACAAAATAACAGAAGTTACTAATGAAGAGTCCCACAAAGAAAAAATAATTGACTCTTTAAAAAATAATAGAATTTCCTTTCTTTTAGATTTACTTTCCACCCAAAACTTGGATTGAATTAGCCTTTCTCTAGGGGAAGAAGTGTAAAACTCATTACTACAGTCACTCTATGTCTGAAAGCCTATAAAAAAATTGGATGTTTTTTGGAATATTTTGGAAGGATAATTTGTGGTTCATAAAGAAATAAAATATTTAAACAATCTGCTATCTGCACATCATGTTTTGCCTGCAATTGCCCATAACAAGGTGTATATATACGCATTTATGTGTGTACCTATAAATATATGTGTGTGTGTGTGTATATATATATGTATGTATATCTTATAACATGATCCAAATGTTTTCATTTTAACTTTCCACATGATTGAAAACAAACCATCCTGTTACAAACATTTAAATATAGAATAAATATTGCACTGCTAATATATACTTCTAGATAAAAATTAGGATTTTCAAAGCTACACATTCATCAAATTAATGCAAATATGACAAGTTTTAAATTTAAAAAGCAGCATTAGACAGGAAAAAAAATAAGTCAGAATTATAATGGGCCCTACAATAGCTCTAAAAAAGTTAGTTTTTCCCCTAAAGCCAATTACTTCTCATATTAGATTCATAGTTTTTCAAACTAATACCTGAACTTAAAAATATATATAAATGGGAATACATATTGTAAAAATTCCATCAACTCTACCAAAGTCTATTTGTTAAAATATTTCCATTAAAGTCAAAATCTAAAAAAGCCTTGACTTCAAGAGAATTATATTTTCTCTTAAACACAATTTATGAGAGATAAGAAGGCAGAGAGAAATAGCAAGAAAAAAAGAGGGGAACACAGTAGCATGAGAAAGGAAGGTCATTTTAGAAGAGGAAAAAGACAAATAAATGTCAAAATAAATCGTAGAAACTCCTGAAAAATAAAAAGCATTTCAGCATAATATCAAAATGTGAGTGCCATCATATCAAATGCAGTAGAGGGGTAAATGATGCTCAGCTGTAATGTATTACGGTTACACATATTAAAGCAATGTAATGCCATCTGTATGTAAAATAGCAGCAAAACCCATAGTTGACAGAAGTGCTTACCTTCAAGGAATTCAGAGCATCCATGATCACGTCTGTTTTTATTTATCATTTTAATATGATTATACACTGGGTAGCAGTATTCCATTTGTTAAAATTAAAAAAAAAAAAAAACTAAATTAAATACAATTTGTTTAAATTAAATAGTGGTTGCTAATTTAGGTTCCAGAGTTAGACTCCATAGGTTTGAAGTCCTAGTTTTGCATTTAACCAGATGTACAGCCAAGGGCAAGTTACTTAAACCATCCAAACCTCCCTTTCTCTTAAATGGATTTAATCTGAGTAACTAAAATATAGGGTTGTTTCAGAGGATAATGGAGACACTAAGGTATCATGTATACTACAGTACCTATACTATAGCACTCAATAGATGTTAGCCAATAATATACTAACAACAACAAAAATAGCTTGTCATAGCGAAAAGCTCAAATTCTAGGCCTCTTGACTCCAAGGGCTATCTCTCTTATAAGACCTTTTTTTTTTCTTTACAGAGACAATGGAATAACACCACTCATTCTCTCACCATGACTGTGCAATAGATCCAGTGCCTCGTTCTAAAAACATGCAAAATGTTGTTTCATAAAACTTTCCATAATAATAATCTGACTACCAGATATTAAAATCCTATTATAATTATATATTAGGAAACTAACAGAAAATATAAGGTGCAATGAGAATTCAGGATTACTTTTAATTTTTCCATGGAGTCCTTGGAGAATGTTTTACAAGCTGCATCAATTTCCTTTCCTATCACGTCAAGGATGGATTCCTGTTCAGTCTCCAAGCAAAGAAGTTGATCCTTGAGCTGCAATCTGGCCTCTTCGATCCTCCTTAAGTGCTCTTCTTCAATGCTTATATGTTTTTCCTAAGTCATTGACAAGAAATTAAACAAGTTGATTAGTATTAAGTGGAAGCAAGGAATACTCACTTCAACAAACTAAAAGAAGTGGATTAGAAAAGAAATCTGACTCCATCAGCCCTGTTACTTTACTAAAATAAAACTTTAATCTACTCATTAACTGAGGCAAAATTACAGAGGTTCCGTAGTAGGGCAGTTTGGGAACTGGTGAGCAGATACTTGACAAACAAAATCATAACAATTCTCTAACAAAAAGAAAAAAAGAAGTAGAAAAGAGAATCCTTTCCCATTTTAATAACATATTCTCACTAATGAATGAGAGATTAAAAGCTGATGTCAGACACTGACTTCGAGCTTTCACTGAACATTAGTAAAACACCAGAAAATATAAACTGCTAAATACGATGTTAGTTTCTTCATTTGAGGAAAAAAATAAGTGTTACCACCACTATCTCATCAAAACATAGTTTTAGGAAAAGTCTAAGTTTTCACATGCAATCATACCACATAAATGCTTTTAAATCATGAAAATTTGAAAGAAAGATGGAGGTACTTTTCATCTTGTCATTATTTACTTAATGAAAAGGGGTTTCTAAGGAGCCCTTTAAGAGATTACAAGGACTTGGGAACCCACTCTAGGTAAAAACAATTCTAAATCATTATGATTGTACAGTTTCTTGACTAGAGAAATTCCAAATGCATATGGCTTGTAATAAAATAACAAAATCACTAGAATTTTATGTCTAAATGGTGGACCAAAGCCATGACAGCTGGCTATGACACCTTCAGTCATCACACTGTAACCTAATCATCTTCATCTGGCCTCTTAAATACGACAAAACCAGAGAAATTATGTGAGCAACAAACCCAACCTGAATTGAAAAGAAAACAAAGAAATCCACTCATTAAGAATTATGAAACGCAGAATGATATTTTACTAAAAGAAACATAAATGATATTTCCCTTCAATTCAACTTACTTTAAAAATAAATGAAACATCCTCTGCCAGGAAGGACAGACCCTTTCATAATCTATCTTCTGTACTTCTCTCTTGCCTCATCTTCCTCCTTTCCACTCTCTCAGAATTTGATGACTTACAGCAACTTACATCTGCCTACATATGTCTCCCCAGACCACATCTGACTTGTACAACTTGGCTTGAAGTTGTGCTACTTCAAAATGGGGCTGGTAGCCAAGAGACATTTATCTTGAGGAGTTTGCCTTAGTTCATCATCCGGGTCTGGATCTCAGCTTTGTAAACCTAGGAACTGAAATTTATTTTTGGTACTCAGAGTGGTACTTTCAGCAGCAGAGTAACAATAAGCTCACAAGAGATTAATGTGTATGAACTAGAAAGCCACTTAATTAACTACATTCGTTTACAATGAGAACCATGACTACCATGTGAATCAGAATGTCCATGTCAGCATAACCAGTACAGTTTCTCTCTATAGACAGATCTAGATGGGAAGGCAAACTATAATCAGACTATTGGTTAATGAACAGGAAATTAGAGCAAAGGGAGTTTCTTTTATGAAACAATGTTTAAACAGCATCGGGCTAATCAAAGTCCAGCATGCTCACCATGCATCAGGAATTTATGAACCACAGTAACAGGGGTGCTCCATTCTTCTAGGCAGTGTTTGCATGGCGGGTGCTGAGGTACGTCTCCCTTTCTTCTTTTTCCACATTGACGTTCTGTCCAAACTTTCCCAACCAATTGATATTAATACATCATTTCTTTAGATTTACTGATATTTTCCCAAGTCTTGCTAACATTTAGGAGTTTTTAAAAAAATTAACATCTCAGCTCTGAAAAGTATTTGACAACTGTATCATTTACTCATTAGAAAGCAACCTTATTACTAAGTCTCTAGGTGATACTTGCCTCCCTACTGTTCCTATGTATCTACCACCTATATCTTCTTATCTTTCTAAGTTTATCCTTTAAGATGCTGTGTCCTTTCTTCCTGAACTCCCAAAGCAAATCATTCCCATTGCATGTTAGGTATATCATAATTTTTAAATTTTTTTTTTCAAAATGTAATATAATTATTTGCTTGTATACCAATCTCCCCCAATAAACTGCTAATTTTGTGAGTCCACAAAACACATTTTTAATCATTTTAAAACTCTCCCACTTTGCTGAATAAATGATTTAAACATTTTTTGAAGACTCAAATTCAATATGCCAAAGATGATTTCATCAATTGTTATGCAAAGCTTATAACCTCAGAAGTTACTGAGGTGTGCTAGGAGGTTTCTTCCACACATACATAAGGCCTCCTGATGGTGCAGTATTTTCACGGTCTGATATTAATAAAGAAAATAAATACCCTATCGGGCTACTGACGTATTCGAAGACTGCCCATATTTTACATCTAAGCAATTCAAAATAATGTTATAATTGATCTTTCTTTTCTCATTTCCCTCATAGCCATCTCTCTTTCCTCCACTACTACTTTTCTGTGGTTTTCATTTCTTTTCTCTTATAATAAGAAGACAGAACTATTTCAATCTTTCGATATTCTTGAGAATGTTGATATTGTCAGAAAAACCTCTGTAAGTTCAGTCTCTTTAGAAAACATAGAAAACTTCATTGTCCATTTACTGTCCTCTGTGGGAGAGTTGCATGCTATGTCCAAGCTCTCTTTGAGTAAAAACTATAGGACTATGGGTTCACATGACCTTAGAGATCAGTAAGTTCAACTACTTGCTCCTTCAGGATTCCCTTATTTGGCATTTTTGACAAATGAGCCATCCAACCTCTAAATGAACATCTCAAGTGTCAAGGAACAGAGTACCTGACAAAGCTGTGAACTCTCTCCATCAGTGTCCGAGCTATATGCAACAATTAAAGTAAACAAATCTTCCACCCCAACTAAGCCTTCTAACCTTCCAGGTAAAAGTTTCTGTTCTTTTCTCCTATATTTTATTTGATTAGGTTTCAGACACATAGTGGTCTCCATTTTCTGCTTGTACTCCAAGATCCTAAATCTAAGAGTTAAGTGAGCTCTTCTATACCATACTTCAGCAATTGTAATTTCATTTTCATTCATTACCTCATTCAACAAATATTTACCTAAAGGCTAGTCTAGACAAGACATTCTTTTGTGCACTAGAAATGGAGTAAGTGATTTCTTCTTGACCTTTTGGCTAAGATCAAGTGTGGAGATAGAGTAAATGACACAGACAGGCAGATTCCTACTCTCATAGAGTCAACAAATATTTCCATGAAATGTCATTACTTTTGTACCATTCTTCTGGTTTGGGCATATTTATTTGAAGAATAATTACGGTACCCAATGAATTAGTGCTTTCTCCCAGTTTCATGTTTTAGAAATAGATGTGCTGACTAAGTAAACACAGCTAATTCTGAAGGAGGGGTGGGACCAGAAATTGGCCAAAGTTAATCCAAGTATCCTGTTAGATTTAGAGGCATTCAAATAAGTGAGGGCAGATGATAATATTTAGGCATTATTAAGGCTATTCTCTGGTCTTCTGGTCAATTCAGAGGGGACAAATATCCCCTGATTCTACAAGATTAACAAAAAGCTACCACATTTCTAGAGAACCAGAGGCAAAATGTGTTATTTTAGAGAATGCTTAGAAATACAGAAGACAAAGTCTAACTTCAGTGTTTCAGGGTGAATGGACACAGATGCCTGGAGCCTAGGGAATGTACATAACTTCTTTTGGAGCAGGAAGGCAGCCAGATTAAGCTGACTACAGCAGTCTATGAGATCCAAGAAGAAGGATACCCTAGACAATGGCTGAGTCTGAGAAAGAAACTCAGAGAATAAACCAACCCCTATTTTTACATTTTAAGTAACTAAAGCTCAGACAAAGTAACTTGACTGAAGTGAAAGAACCTATTAAATACATCCCCATAACCTGATCCCCTGACTAGTATTCTCTCTTAAAATGCTAGAAAGGCCAAGGTTTTAACATTAGAATTTAGAAAAACATTGTGAAAAATTCAGAAAAGTTTTCAGCAGGTTATGTGGTAACTAATGTAGTCCTAAAGTAAAAAGAAGAAATCAAAAATTAAATTCTGAATGAGCCTTATCATAAACGAAAATATATGACATATTGACATATTCAGAATGGAACACAATCAAAAGCACATTGAACATGCATAATATCCCAGACTTTTAGGGGCTATCCATCTATGCTGAAGAAGTGCCTGTGTACCCACAAAATCTGCTTTAGTCCAATTTTCAAAAGTGTGCTAGTCACACACTAAACAAGGTATAGTTCCATCGTCAAGACAGCAAAGGTTTTACGAAGCCTCTATTTTAGGACAAGAAAGGCTCATATTGTTGACACTTAAGTATATTTTAGGACAAGAAAGGCTTATATTATTGACACTTAACTATAAAGAAAACATAAAACTGCTGACAATCTCATGATAAACACACACACACACTGCTGAGTGTTTTGATAAACTGACCTATAATTCAAAAAATAAGAAATGCTGTTGTATTTATAGATTTATGTTTCAGCATGCTCTTTACAACTGAGAGCATTCACTTTCCTAGAGGCGCTAAAGATCATAAGGAGATAGGTCTTATCAGAAATATAAAAACTTCAATAAAACAAGAGCATGTCCAAAATAGTATCTCTTTGGTAAAAGTTTATGAGATTCCTTCAATGTCTTAAGAGTTCCAGAAATGCCACTTTATTTACAATATGGCTATTACATGAAATAAAAACAGTTCATTAAAAACCTTAAACAGAAATATGATGTTAAATAAAGTACAGTGATATGACTAAATAAGTCATTAATTTACAAAGGTAATGGTTTTCCTTCCCTGAAAACTACTTGAGTAAGCACGTGTGACAATATTTCAGTCCCAAGGCCATCTTAACATACATCAACAAAGGGTAGGGGAAGATAGGATAAAAGGTAGAGAAAGAGAGAAATCAAATAATATTAAAGGCTGAAATTAAAACTAATGGAATTTAAGCAAAGCTATTGCAAATACAGCTTGTTAAAACTACTG